ATTAGGAAAATAAAATAGTTCCCATAAAGACAAAATAAGACGTGGACTGTGTATGCTGGAGTCCCATGTAAAGGTGGTGGTGGGTTTCCACTGGTACTAATGACCATCTCTATCTTAAATTCTAATTGATGACTGCTAGCTCTGACCAACTGGTTAATCCGTAACTACAGACATCACGATAAAACATCTCCACTGAGCTGTCCTGGGTTCTTTCATCGTTTCTTATCCTTCATCCATCGTCAGGACTGCATATGCATTATAGTCACATGCTTCCTGTATTCAGCTGAAACAGACCAAACTGATTCTCCTGCTTCTGCTGTTGTCATGCAGAGTGATCGACCTGGGTGTAATGGTGCCATGTGATCAGATCCTCAGAGAGGCCGTTACACAGAAAGCAGGTAACTGTAAAGATCAGACTGACAGAAACATGGAAAGTTTCATTTCACAGAGGTTTATTTAATAATGTTAAAATGTTCATTCATTACTGCACATTGCTGGCATTGAAGCAGTAGCTGGATATCTTCAGCCTAGTTTTTGCCTTTCAGGCAGAATTACAGTTGGTGTGGTGGAGCTGCTCGTGGGTGTATCATGATGTGTCAGGTTCACAGGATTTATACTGACCTGTGTGACAATAAGCATTAATATATAATGCTCCTGTCAGATTATTGTCCTAATGATAGAGCACTGACGAGTCTGTAATCTTGCACGATGATGGGATATTTTGTTGCTTTTGTGTGCTAACTTATTAAAAATCAGGACAACTTATAATCATGATAAGACTGTAAACAACAGCAGCCTTGGGTAGTGAACGGTTAGAAAATAAGTGGTTGGAGGAGATCCTGTTAATCATTACAAGCATTAATAATTAGTGTGAGCACAGCTGTGTGTGGAGTCTTTTGTTGTTATTTAGACTTTTCTCTCAGGCAGGTTTTCACAGATTTTCATTTTCTTTCTATGCATAGATGAAGAAAATAATATATACATTTAAAGATGATTGCATCCTAAAGCTGAACACTTGTTGTCATTTTAGCCTCAATAAGACCCTTTTAAGCAAAAGCTCAAAGTATTGTTGAGGATTAAGACGTATTAGTTTGTAACAGCAGTTGTGTTCTTGCTTTGGTGCCTCAGATGTCATTGGTCTGTCTGGTCTTATCACCCCTTCTCTGGATGAGATGATCTATGTGGCCAAAGAGATGGAGAGACTGGGAATGACCACACCACTGCTGATTGGAGGAGCCACCACATCAAAGTATTGCATACCAACAATCACAAAGCTCTAATTCTGAACTAGATACAATGTAAAGTTCAAGTCAAAGGTTACGTGTAGGAGATGCACTAACAGTCGCCCACATATTTTATCTCGAGGCAAATTTAGAGTCCCCAATGAAGGAAGAGTTTGCAAAAGCATTGCAGGCAGAAAGTATTCACAGGGCTTCAGTTGTTCCACATTTTGTCCTGTTACAGCCTGATTGTGTTCAATTTATTTTGATCATGTGAACAATATACAGACTTTCATTTAAGGGGGAAAAAAGAAAGAAAATTTGATTAAATAAATTTTTAACAATTCTGTGGACAATAATGGGAATTATAGTTGGCAGTGTGTGCCCACAAACCAAGCCCTGAAGTCCAAGGAATTGTAAGGAATTGTCTGTAGACCTCCAAGACAGAGTTGGATCAAACTACAGAAACATTTCTGCAGCATTGAAGAGTTCAGTGAGCTCAGTGGACGCCGTCATCTGTAAATGTGAGACGTTTGGAGCCATCGGGGCTCTTCTTAGAGCTGACCTGACCAATCTGAGCAATCGGGGTCACTCTGGGAAAACTCCAGCATTACTTTGTGGAGAAGTTAAAGCTACAGCACATCAAAGAAACCATGAGAAAGTTCTCTGAACTGATGAAAGAACGGTTGAGCTCTTTGGCTTCATGTCTGGAGGAAACCAGGCTCTTCACCTGGCCAGTAGCATCCCTACAGTGAAGCATGGTGGTGGTAGCATTATGCTGTGGGGATGTTTTGTGGCAGCAGGAACTAGTCGGGGTCAAGAGGAAGATATCCTTCATGATAACCTGCTCCAGAGAGCTCTGGACCTCTGGGGTGAAGGCTCCAACAGGACAATGACCCTCACACTCAGCCAAGGGGACGTAAAAAATTAATCTACTTTGGAATAAATGACAAAATGTGGAACACGTGAAGCACGTTGCAGACTTTACAGCATCACTGTAGGCTTTGCAGTGAGTAATATAGCCAAGCTCCATTCTCAAGTGTATAGATAATGTAGTTCAAATGTAACTTCAGAGTTGTCACAACATTGGAAACTGTCCACAGTGGCCAAAACAGCTTTTTTGTTGTATCCACTGGGATTGACTCACTGATGCAGTTCATCTTCTAGCCACTGGAGGCTGACTCCAAAAGTGAGGCAGCCTCGAGTGGCTACAAGAGCATCAGGGTCACCATAAATGTTTGCATAGACAATCCTTATGATGGCTGTAAGCAGAAGTGCAGCAGTCGAGTAATAAGCAAACCTGTACTTTGTGTTGGGTAGGGTACACACAGCGGTGAAGATTGCCCCTCGCTACAGCTGCCCTGCTATCCATGTTCTGGATGCTTCCAGGAGTGTGGTGGTGGTAAGAACATCTGCCTTGACTCCAACTTTTCCATGATCAA